CAAGAGGCCCCCAGGAGGGCCCCAAGAAGGCCCGAAGACGGCCCAAGCGGCCCCCAGGACGCCCAAGATGGCCTCCAAGACGGCCACGATGGCCTCCAAGATGCCTCCAAGACTGCCAAAAGGCCTCCAGACAGCGAAGATGGCCCCAAGATGCACCCAAGACGACCCCAGATGGCCTGAAGATGGCCTTCGACTGCCCAAAAGGCCCGCCAGAGGCTTCCAAGACGGCCCACGACCGCTCCAAGACGTCTTCCAGGAGGCACGAAAGCTCGGAAACCACCTGGTCCGATAGCTCGCCCGACTCGGTGTTCCCCGAAGGCTTTCGAAATCCGCTCTGGGAACGCATGGCCCGATAGCTTGGCCAAGCTCAAACCCAACTTTCGGCCACGCAGGCGCTTCCACACAGGCAGGGGGCGGCGGTGATTCGCCGTAGGCGCCTTCGATCCGCTGCCTCCTGTTAGTTTATCACAGGGGTGCCTTGCGTGCTAAACTTCTTGGACTTTTCTGGTTCTTTTTAAGACTCCCCCAGGGGCTTCGGTCCATTTCGCTGGCCATCCGGAAAACTGCTCGAGAGGTGGTTCTCACAGTTTTTTCTGCTCCAGATGGTCCCGAGATGGCCCACGATGGCCTCCAAGACGGCCAAGATGACCTCCAAGTTCCCCCACAGATGGTCCAACATGGCCTCGAGTGCACAAGAGAGTCCAAGATGCCTCCAAGTTCGCCCAAAAAGCTTCAAGACGGCCAAAGACTGCCTCAGAGGCCTCCAATATGCCTCCAAGACGGCCCAAGCCTCCGAGAGGTCCTCCAGGAAAGCCCGATGAGGCCATACTCATTGATTTTACTTAGGTTTTTGATTGATTTCGGCATTCGCCTCTCGCTGGCCTTCCGAAGGCCCAAGACGGCCTAAGAGGCCCCAAGACCGCCCCCAGAACGCCCGAGATGTCCCCAAGATGGCCCTACAACTGCCGAAATGGCCCCCAAGACGGCCCTAAGACGGCCCAAGAGGCTTCCAAGACGCCCACGATGGCCTCTTGGGGCATGTAGGAGCTTCTTAAGGGCCTGTTTGGCCTTCGTAGGGCATTCCTGGCACGTCTGACGCAGTCGGGGGCCGCCTTAGGGGGCATCTCTGGGCCGTCGTTGGGCTTCTCGGGGCGGCCCAAGGAGGTTTGCAAGAGGCCTTCAAGAGGCGCCGAGGAAGCTCCAAGGAGACCCCAAGAGTGTCCCACGAAGCCTCCTCCTCCTTTCTCCTCCCTCTCCTCCTTCGTCTTTTTCTTTTTCTTCATTCTCCCCCACGTGTTCCCCGAATGGTTTCCACAACGGCTGGGGGAACAGGCAGTCCGATAGCTTGGCCGAACCATGGACACAACGTTCGCCCCACATGGGCGCTTCTAAAAAGACAGGTGCGGCGGTGATTCGCCGAAGGCGTCTTTGAGATCGTTTTTCCCAACCATCCTGTGGTGTTGGGTCCTCGTTTTGAAGAGACGGTGCCCCGCGTCTCCTTCCTCCTCCTCTCCTCCTCCGCCTCCTCTCCCCTCCTATCATCCTCATCGTCATCATCATCATCATCATCGTCATCATCATTATCATCATCATTATCATCATCATCGTCATCAGCATCAACATCATGGCCGCCGTCATAACCATCATCGTCATCATCACCATCATCGTCGTCATCACCATCATCGTTGTCCTCGTCGCCATCATCGCACGTTTCGTGGCCCCATACGGAGCTCCACCGAAGGTCCCAGTGGGTGTGCCCGCATGCGTCCCGCACACACATTTTGGCACACCCCTCACACGTTTCGTGGCCCCATGGGGAGCTCCACCTAAGGTCCAAGTGGCGCAGCTCGCATGGCGCCACCGCCCCATTTCGGGCACACCCCTCACACGTTCGTGGCCCCTCAGGGGAGGCCCCACCTGAGGTCCACGTGGCGCAGCTCGCATGGCTCCACCGCCCCATTGGCCGTCGCTCACCGGTTCGTGGCCCCTCCAGGGAAGCTCCTTTTGGCACACCCTTCACACGTTTCGTGGCCCCATAGGGAGCTCCATTTACGGTCCAAGTGGCGCAGCTCGCATGGCGCCACCGCCCCATTTTGGCACACCCCTCACACGTTTCGTGGCCCCTCAGGGAGCCCCACCTGAGGTCCAAGTGGCGCAGCTCGCATGGCGCCACCGCCCCATTTTGGCACACCCCTCACACGTTTCGTGACCCCTCAGGGAGCTCCTTTTGGCACACCCCTCACACGTTTCGTGGCCCCATAGGGAGCTCCACGTAAGGTCCACGTGGCGCAGCTCGCATGGCGCCACCGCCCCTTTTTGGCACACCCCTCACACGTTTCGTGGCCCCTCAGGGAGCTGCACCTAAGGTCCCAGTGGTGCAGTTCGCATGGCACCCCTTTCACACGTTTCGTGGCCCCACAGGGAGCTCCATCTCAGGTCCAAGTGGCGCACCCCACATGGCGCCGCAGACCCACTTTGGCACACCCCTCACACGTTTCGTGGTCCCATAGGGAGGGAGGAGGAGGAGGAGGAGGAGGAGGAGGAAGAGGAGGAGGAGGATGAGGAGGAGGGCGAGGAGGAGGACGAGGAGGAGGAAGAGGAGGAGGAGGAGGAGGAGCAGGAGGAGGAGGAAGAAGGACCGCCCTGGCCGCTGTCGCCGCCGCCGATGCCGCCGTCGCCGCCGTCGGCGCCGCCGTCGGCGTCATGCTCGCGGCCCCACAGGCGAACGGGAGAGAGGGTCCCCTCCCCCTCCTCCTCCTTTCCCTCCTCCTCGCTTCCGTCTCTTTGTTGCCCGCGCGCATCATCATTGTCCATGCTTGTTGAGTCCACTTAGCTGTGAAGCCATCCATTGCAAAGAATCCGAACCATCGCGGCGTGTGGCCTGGCCCCGAACGGTGTCTTGGATTCTTCAGCGACGGGTGTCTCATGGCCTCTCCAACCGTGCGAACGGATTCATAAAGCCATGGACATAGATGTTCGTCGTCGTCGTCGTGGTCGTCGTCGTCGGTGTCGTCGTAGTCGTCGTCGTCGTCGTTGTCGCCGTCGTGCGGTCCGTGGCGGTTCGTGGCCCCGTAGGGAGCGCCACCGAAGAAGGCACTCACAATTGCGGCACTCACAACTGCATATGGTTGGGTCTTTCGCCAGGATAATTCTTAAGCGCTTGTTTCCATTATGTTTCTGGAACATTTCCGCGGTCCCACGGGTCTGCCTTTGGAAAGTCCTTATAGTCGAAACCCGTTTGAAATGAAACACATTGATTTCACTCGTTGTCATTTACATATTGAATGTGAGGCACGACTTTCGATGCTTGTTTAGTTTGTGGAGAATCTCAGTGGCGGCGTCGTGGAAGTCTTACACCTGAACTCACTTGATCCCTCTGCCTCTACAGCAATCAACTTGTACTATTCCTTGATAACCTCATAAATGAGGTGAACAAATGAACAACAACGGTACGTGTAGGTCAAACGCAGAAGAACATCTGGTCGTAAGCGCACATACGGTGGGTCTTACGAGTGGTGGTGGTGTGGGGGGGGGGGGGTGGGTGGGGGGGGGTGGCGGCTGGCGGTGGGGCGGGAGGATGGCTGCGGAAAGATCATGGCGAGGTGGGGAGGAGAGGAGTAGGAGGAAGAGAGGAAGAGGAGGAGGAGGAGGAGGAGGACGAGGAGGAGGAGGAGGAGGAGGCGGAGGGACGATGCGGAGGAGGAGGAGGAGGAGGAGGAGGAGGAGGAGGAGGAGGAGGAGGAGGAGGAGGAGGAAGGAGGAAGGAGGAGGAGGAGGAGGAGGAGGAGAGGAGGAGGAGGAGGAGGAGGAGGAGGAGGAGGAGGAGGAGGGAGGAGGAGGAGGAGGAGGGGATGGCGGAGGAGGAGTGCGGAGGAGGAGGCGGAGGAGGAAGGAGGTAGGAGGAGGAGGAGGAGGAAGAGGAGAGGAGGAGGAGGAGGAGGAGGAGGGGGAACAGGAGGAGGAACGGGAAGGAACAGGAGCGAGGAAAACGGGAGGAGGACTGCGAAGGAGGAAAGGGAGGAGGATGGGTGGAGGAATGGGTAGGAGGGAAAGGGTAGGAGGCAGGAACGGGGAGGGAACGGGAGGAGAACGGGATGTGGGAGGAGGGAGGAAGGAGGAGGAGAAGGAGGAGGAGGAGGAATAACAAAACACGCACGACCAGTCCAGGGAGGCTCGGGGGTCAGTGCAGCAGGATGGGGTCGGAGGAACGGCCCCTCCCCTCCCGACAGTTGTTTTTTGTAGGCAGCCTGGGCTGAGCTTGCTCGACCCGGGCTTCCGATCGTAAACCGTGATTGGAGGAGGAGGAGGAGGAGGAGGAGGAGGAGGAGGAGGAGGAGGAGGAGGAGGAGGAGGAGGAGGAGGAGGAGGAGGAGGAGGAGGAGGAGGAGAGGAAAATGAGGAGGTGGAGGAGGAGAAGCTCCCGCCCTCATCGGTGGTCGCCGGCGCAGTTGTTTTTTCCTGCGCCGACTAGACGGACCGGCCGTCCGACCGACCGACCACGCCGCGATATTTGGGACCCTCCTGCTCGGACATTGCGATTTCTCCGTGACGTCGGACCCCAGGGCTTCGACCGCTCTCTCCTGGCCAGCTTTGCAGTCCGAGCCGCTTTCTGACGGCCTCCGGGGGCCGAAGACGACGACCGGCCGGCCGTCGCCACTTGGGGGCAGAGTTTGGGGGCTGGGGGCTCCGACCGTCCGCGCGAGAGGCCTCCGAGCGCCTCCTCCTCCTCCTCCTCCTCCTCACCCCCTTCTTTCTTTTTTTTTTTTTGTTTCCTCTCCTCCTCTCCTCCTCTCCTCCTCTCCTCCTCCCCTCCCTCCTCCTCCCTCGCCTCCTCCTCCTCCTTCCTCCTCCTCCTCCCCCTCATGCCTCCCTCCTCACTCCTCCCTCTCCTCCCTCGCTCCTCCTCCTCCTCACCAGATGCCTCACTCGGGGCCCGCCCGAGGGCCGCCGAGGTCCGCCGCGGGCCGCCGAGGGCGCCGCGGGCGCGCCCTTCGCGAGAG